ATATATCACGTATATACGTACCGACGATCTTTTTCACCCCAATCCCGTATTAACGCGCATATATTTATTATTATTATAATTATTTTTTTTTTTTAACGCAAAATAGACGTAAAGCTATAATATGCTATGTACCTGGCGTAAGAAAGAAGAAGAGTCCCTCCTTTTTTTCGTACGGAAAAATCGCCAAGAAGAGATACGCAGGAGCAACAGCCTGCACATAAGTACATGATATATATATTTATGTGTGCATGCGATCGCGAGTCATTGAACCCTTGCTCTACAGCAGACGCTCAAGAACGCGCTGTATATATATACCTACACACCGACAAATAGAGAGAGAGATGTGTGTAGGTACATGCTGCATATATATTAATACACAACATAACACATGTGTGCAAATTGCATGTGCTCTTCTCTGTTTTGGCCTCGCAGCCTTTTTTTATTTTTTATTTTTATTTTTTCTTTCTCAAATCCCCCTCGTCCCCGAACAAAAAAAAAAAAACAACGGTGCCGCAGTGGGTCGTGCACTGCTTTTGTATTATGCTTCGTATTGTACAATGTGGCAAAATGAGTGAGCGCACACGGTGAGTTGTAAGTATAGTGGAAATAATGAGGTATTGCGTTTTATATAATTATCAATGATTTTTTTTTATACGATGCAGCTACAGCTATATCTTAAATTTTGTAAACCATCGATGATAAAACATGCGGTTGTCCCGATCCTCCATAGGACAACGATCGCTCTTATATACGAATCCTTTTATTTTTTCTTCGCGCACAGTGTCATAGACGACTGGCTGCGGTACCCCCCCCCCCGTATTCTACACGTTTCCCTTTGTCGACCCGTAGCCTTTTTCGAATGCCCCCCTCGCTTGGCTGCGTTCATTGAATTTTCTCTTTCTCTCATCGTTTAGTTCGCGCGGAATAAAAAATTCAGCCGATTCACGGGTGCTTTCGTTGCGCGTGCGGGTGGGGCCGTTTTTTCTTTTTTTTTTTTTTTTTAACTCCATACAGCGGGGAATTAACTTTGGTTCGGAAACGATGGCTTTAGAAACGTTTTGTTCTTGCCGGTGCACAATTTATGTACCGAAAATCAGCTATTTATATACTTGGCCAATGTGTATATAATATTTGAATACTTTGGGGTAACTATATAGTATAAGTTTCGGTATGAACCGTATTGTATGTGCTTACTGTAACATTGATCGGGTTGAGAGTATAAACGAGTGTATGAGCTGTAGTGTTGAATGTAATATTTTGTAATTGCCAGATTTTTTACAGCACGTTATTGTCACTTGTCGCTATATTAACAGTTAGTGTAGTAAAAAAAAAAAAATTGACGATTTCATCTATTGCGTGTGTCAGGCGTAGAGTGTATGGAAAAACATTGAACGCGTTTTTCCCGCACATATTTTCAAGTAAAAAAAAAAAAAAAAAAATCATAAAGAATATAATTATAAAGCGCGTCAATAAACTTCGGAAGTGGAAGTGAGTGACGTCACTTCCTGCTTATAAAACTCTTGTTTGTTTACGTGAAAAACAAAAACACGTGTCTATTATTTTTCGATAATCCACCCACGAACTTGAGTACCTAATACATTTCATAAATGTTTTCGTTTTTAGTATGTTATTTCCTGTTAATGGAAAATTCAATCAAAACACCCGCTGAAGCGCTTCTGGTAGAGTGACTAATAATATGTAGATACCCTTGTTTTTTTTTTTTTTTCGATAAAAACATCAATAAAGTACACACCCAACGCGTATTTAAACTTGATTCAATATCCCGCAAGCCAACTTCCTCTCGTGTAAACTTTGAGGGCAATATCTGCTCGAAAAATCGCGCCACCTATTCTACGAAGTGTAAAATCGTAAATATAGCCATGCCCACAAAAGCTCACTTGCACACACAAACCCGCACAAACCCACGATATATGGATTCACGCGACACACAATGGCCGTCCACTCTGGTGGAAATTCAATAAGCCATCCGCTCGTTTCCTTGAATATTTAGCACATTTATGTGTACCATGTACACCTATGTATATGTATATGGACAGTAACAGTAAAAGCTCGACACATATGGGAGAGATATCCTGTTGTAGGAAAGTAGGGAGAGCCTTAAATTGAAAATCGCGTGTAGCTGTGTGCGTAAATGTACATATTGGCCGATAACCAATAGTGTATAGGTATATAAGCACTAACATAACTCTATAGAAGAAGGCGAGGCTAAATTGACCAAACGACCTTTTCCTTCCCTCCTGTGCTTTTATACATACATTACCGTACGATCCATACATATAGATTCACGCGTGTATACGGTAGTATCGGGGAAGGGTAGTTTCTCGTCCCCGCCCGTTTTTCTTGGGACGGGAGTCGATTTCCCATGTAAACGTCTTCTCGTTTTCACTTATTTTCCATTAGACCGATAGCGTGTACGAATAGTATACCTATACTTATAGTGAGCAGTGGTTGGGTGTATAAGGGAAACGCAGTTATCGAGGGATCAATCTCGGATGTTTTTCCAGTGTTGCACAAGCAGTAAGTATATACCTACGTGTGTAGGGTGTGTGTGTGTATAATATACATATATACATGATTGAAGCCGATTCAATTGTACGTCGATTTTTATCTTTTGAGCGATCGGGTATAAGTAGGTATATATCAATTGTATCAAAATAACGCGAGACACGAGAATTTCAACAACCATGTTTTGAAATACGTGTAACATATACATATATACCTATGCTTACAAGCGTCAAGGGAAGATGAAAAAAAAAAAAAAAAAAAGAAAAAAATCCTATAGGTACATACCTGCAAGTGATTCGTTCGCTCTACACTTTGCACTTGGTTGAAGCCAATGTCTCTTTTTCTCTCGCTTACAATGGCTATTGGTGTACATTGGTACATTGCCACGTGCGCCGTGGGAATTAATTCCCTGAATGATTGGCGCCAAACTATATACATTTCGATCGATCGATCGGACGAGATTTGTCGTCGCTATGGGGTTTGTGTGTATACACGGACTCGTTACTCCTATGATGGTTAATACAAGAATATATACACACACGTGCCTGTCTTTTTTTTCTGAACTCCATTTATTGCAGATGCGTTATTTTTTTTTTTTTTTTTTTTTTTGATTGAGTGTCTCATTATTTACGATGATGTATCAAAAAATAAAACGAGAGAATTTCCGCATCATTCGTTTGGATTTGCAGAGGGAATGGGTTAAAAAAAAAACAAGCGAAACGACAAATCTGTGGGTAAAAAAAAAATATTCAGCGCAAGTAGGCAAAACACAGCCAGTGCCGATAGAGGAGAGAAAAATAATCGACTCCCACTTGTTGTCTGTTTCTTCTCCTTCTGTTATCTTGTGAATATATATAAAATCCTCTAGGAGTGTTATAAAAGAAGCCTATTAATTTTTGTTTTTGTACAATTGTAAATAATAGGTTTTTCGAGAGCAACGGAGCCGGTGTCCCTTTCTCTCACGCGTCAAAGCGTATACAAAACGACGCCGGCGCTGGGAAGCTAGCGGTGATGCCGTAATTGCATATTATGACGGCTCTGCTTTGTACCTGTACGGCACACACGCGTACGACCGGAACTCCTTCGAGCAATTACTGCAGCGCGAGTGAATGAGAGGCGAACGTCTGGGAGGTTTTTTGCCGCCCCCCCCGCTTCTATAAAGCTGTCGATGCTTGGTGTGATTTTTTCCTCTTTTTATAAGCTTGCGGTTATAGGTGCGAGTGGTCGCAACCGCAATTTTTGGGAAACTCGCTCGAAAAGACTGGCAATCGCAGGAAAAATATCCTTCGCGATTGAATTTTCTCTTGAAAAAGAAAATAATGATAACGACGAGGGTAAAAAGTAGCGCTAATTATGAATCCCCGCATGCACGCAGAGATCATTATGAATTTCTCCTGTTTTCACCGCAATACAGTTAAACGAGTGGCTATACATGTATATGTAGATATAATACGAGCCGAGAGCACACAAAGGACAAAATACAAAGCGTGTACAACAGAAGCAACAGCAACTGGTATAGGTATACACACTACCAGAGAACGGATTATCAAATCTAGCTTCCGTTGCGCGAACAATGCCTGAATTAGGCCCCCTCGTTATGTTTGCTCTCTTTCCCCGGTGTTGTTGCTCCTCGTACGTATGGGTAACTATATATGCTGTATGCCGACAAATGACGAGGTTCTTGGTAAAAAAAAAAAAAAAAAGGAGGGAGGAAGAAAATCCCACGAGAAAATCCGCCAGAGTGCAGTCAACGAAATCAGCGGTAAAGTATAGTATAGTATAAGCCTTTATTTCAGCCAGGGGGTACAACCACGTATGGCTTCGAAGGATTATTACAATGTATGTATTAAAATAAAATATAAACAATTAGTTAATACAAGTTAGTACGCAATTGAATAGGTATATAAGTACATCAAAAATGTGGATACATTTGAGTTGACAATTAGTGTTTAAAAAGAAAGAACAAAAGAGAAAAATTAGTTAAACAATTTAATTCAATGATAAGAATTAGTAGTTTATAAACTAGGCAGAAATCCGGTATTCAGTATCCCACTCACTCTTGTCTTGGTTTAAGAGAAACGCAAATATGAAAGTTTTAAAGTTGTCGATTTTAGTTGGTTGAAATACATTTTGGTGCAGTTTATTTATTAATATATAAAGATATATATATATACATATACGAGGCGCCTATGTAAAAATTAAATTTCATTGTCGGTGTCTTGCTCCTTTTACGCCAAAAAATTGCACGATACATCAGAGTTTGCACACGTGCAACCTGTGTATACAAAATCTTCTGATATAGGGTCGGGGAAAAAGCAATATTTTCTCTTCAACTGCTCTCTAAAGTTGTTTAATTGCGTGCAAAAGCTATATTATTAGATCCATAACAATAAATCTAGAGGTCTCGGCTGTGGCAACCGATCCGCACATTTTCATTGATCACTGAGTAACAAAAAACTGTCTTTCTGTTGCAGACACCCCAATGTCGCCGACGGGAGGATCCTCGCCGAACCAGGAGGGCCTCTACACGGATTTTCGACTGCCCTCGTTGGAAAAACAGCTCGACATCGAACAGAAGGTCCCTAACCCAAGCCCGTCTCGCCTCACACTAATCACACGCGCGCCACATCCAAAGCCGACCGTGAATCCAACCCCGATAATCTCGCGCAGACATCGGCCCGATACAATACACCCCTCCACGACAAGCTGATACATATATACATGTATTTCGTTGAAAGGTAGCGCGTGTAGTCTTATTAGCCCGAGCTTGCACGGTAGACCCTATCTAGCCGTCATCGGGAAAATATCGCCTCCTCTTTCTCTGTGTACATTGTAGCCCCTAATTCGTTTAGTCTCGGTTCCGCGCGACCACCCGACGGCTGCGACGAACCTCCGCCCAGTATACGACTGCGTCGAGTCGAGGGCTTTAAATTTTACTTCCGCGGAGCTCGGCCTTTTTTTTTCATTCGATCACACAGCGTCTCCGGTGTCATGCCCAAGTGGTTTTGGAAAAAGGGGCGCGATACTGCAATATAGTTTGATCGATCGCGTGTTCAACTCGTACCTCCGAGTCTATGTATTGTAAATCAGGTGCACAGTGAAGTGAAGTGGGTTATCGGAAAGAACGGGTTACACAAATCCGGTAGCTCCGAGCGGCTTGTATTGTTCTTAAACCGCAAAAATTTTGGAGAATATTTCAGGCATCGCTCACCGTCGTCTGTATATATACTTATCGTCGGACGCCGCGAAGATGTCCGAGAGGGGAGGTGTCAAGGCAGCGGTGTTTTCACAGGCAATTACATCGAGATAGTATTGAGTTAACTTGCGCGGCTCGCGTAAATATTTATTTATTTATTTTTTTATTTTTTTTTTCAATTAAGAATTGCATCGTTTTCGTTCAGCCAAGCCTTTCACCATTAACATCTGGAGTCAAATTTTCCCGCATTCAAGATTCAAATATCCACCCTCAAACGCAAAAAATCACTCGAAACTCCACGTTGATGTATTTACCGTGACACAAAGTGCACCGTTTTTTAAAAAAAGTTATTAAAACCGTCATCGAACTAAAAAAAAAGAAAAAAAGCACCGTTTGTCCATATGCAATTAATAGTCGTAATGTTTTTGCGTAATACATCTCGCGTATACCGGCTCACCTCAGAGAAACCTTGTCGCGTTAATCATTTGTAATCACCGAGTCGAAAAAAAAAAAAAAAACAGTAACTAAACGCGCATCCGTCGTCACCTAATGAAAAAACAGCGCATTATTCGCACGTCGTATAGAGTTGCTATTGTGTTTGGTATACATAATATTTCATGTAATATACGTTTCGCGCGACCTCCCGAGTCTCTCCTCGGTGTACTTATACACGTAGGCAGTACAGTATTGACGTGTTTGCCAAGTAAAAAATCTATTAACACATGACGCGAAAACATTACACGTGGATTCCTTTATACGTGTATACATAATAGCTCCCTACCCCGACTCGAGGCTGATGCGCTTACAGCTTATATGTTCAGGAAACGCTAGCGACTTTGTTTCTTCCTCTTGTGCGCAAGCAAACAGCTGATTTATTATTATAATATTCATGAAAGACACGTCGGTGCTGCTGAAAAGGTGTGATGTTATTTTTTTTTTTTTTTTCCCCAAGACCAAAGAGATCAGCAAAAACAGACACACGCATTTACGACGATGAGTGTTCGTACATTATACCGATCTCTCTCTTTTTTTTTTTTTTTTCTCTTTTTTCTCTTGTACCTTTGTAAAAACACCGTTCCGCCATTTACCCGCGCCAAAGCGAGCCACATTATAATCACCGTCAAATCACACATACCCATAATCATAATAATCATAATAATAATAATAATAATATACGAAAAGTATTTACACATTTTCGCATTAGTATTTTATTGGCATTAGCCAAGAGTAGTTTTTTAAATCATAATAATAATATACGAAAAAGAAAAAGCGTTGAAACAGTTTGGTGATGTAATGACGAGAGGGTGTGTTGGTAACTTGGGCGGATGAACAGGTGAAGCAAGGCGCGGAGAACATGATCCAGAGCCTGACGAGCGGCCACCGGGACAAAAAGCTGCTCCAGGAGGCGCAGCTCATGCTCGACGACTCGCGGGCGAAAATCTTGTACCTGCGTATGCGCATCACGAAGCTCAACCAGGCGCGGGAGCAGCAACACGCGCGGGGAGACGCGCCGGCACCCAACGGTGACGCAACCGGAAACAAAGGTATAAATAATGTCTATGTTTATTGTATACATCATATAAATACATGTGTGTGTGTGTGTGTGTGTGGTGTATAACGAAGCTCGTGTGACTAGAAGTTTTACCGCAGCCGAGGGAAACACACGTCTCGCACGATAAGACTCTCGAGCAGAGCTTATCTCAATTTCGTCGAGTAATTGCAAAACTTGCGCAAACATCTTATCTCTCCCCGATTGCGATCAAACTGCGTTTAATTTATAAATTACACGCGTACGCGCGCACCGACACCCGGCTGAAAGCGCTTTTTTTTGTACACAGGAAGGATTTGCAATTTCTTTTTTTTTTTTCCCCTCCCAATAATAATAATAGTAATAATATACCAATAGAGAGGTAAAAAAAAAAAAAGCACATTTCCCAACTTCGAAAGGTTGATTACAAGTTACAATAAATCGCAACGAGATCCTCCGCCGGATTGTACATATCAACGCTCGATCTTTCCACTTTTAAGCGGCCGTGTAATCGACATTTAATTGAAAATCGCTTCGGGGCCTCTTTCGTTGGATTTTTTTTTTTTAGTGATTTGTTACGGTCATTCGAGGTGTAGGATTATTTGACGTTATTTGACGTGAAGAAGAAAAAAAAAGTGGGTATAGGTACAACAAAGAGTCGTGTTTCCCAGGCCAAACGACGCGCCAGATGGCACGGTGACAAGGGGACTTCTTTGGTGTTTCGTAAATACACTGAAATTAGATATGCCGGCTTGATTAATGGACGAGACTCGTCTGATGTGTTTACGCCAAGCGCGATCATCTTCGGGTGCAGTGTATATTATACGAAGAGAGAGAGAGAAACGAGGCTTCGTGCACCGCGTTTGAAGGAAAAAATGTGCTATCCGAGGAACTATGACCGCTTGGCGGACCGAAAGATGGAATCGATCGTTGCTTCGTGCCTCGCGACTCTGTATCGTCCGCGTAGATCGTCCATGGACACGTACATTTATACATACACACGTACAAATTGCGTCACTTGTCCGGAAAATAATTGGAAAAAGTATCCTTTCTGGAGCACGACGACTCTGGGTTTCGAAACTCCTCTGGTCGAAGGAGATCTCCCCCTTGTTCGCCGAGTCAAAAAGTACGCGGGAAAACAATGGACTTCTCAGCGAGATTTGAGCTGCCACTTTGCTCGTCTTACGTAAACAATCTGCTTACAACGTAAAAAAAAAAATCAAGAACACGAAGCGGGAAACTAAACAAAGTTATGTAAGGGCGGGGGGTAAAAACAAATTACTACAGAGCATTTTTTCCCTCGGGTCACTTGACCTACAATATCGCACACACTGTTGTGATTAATTATCGAAGAAAACTATAAATGAACATTATATGAAAAAAAAAAAAAAAAAAAAAAAAAAAAAAAAAAAATAGTAATAAGTCGTTTGTAATTGTGATTTCAGTCAAGTACCAGCCGAACCTGGAACTCGCGCTCGAGGAGCGAGTCGAGGAGCTGCGACACAGGCTACGAATCGAGGCGGCCGTCGTCGAGGGGGCCAAGAACGTCATTCGTCTACTACAGAGTGCCAAAGTCGCCGACAAAAAGGCTCTGGGCGAGGTAAGACCCATTTAAATCTCCACGCAATATAGACAAGCTGATCGCTGTAATTTTCATTCATCCATTCCAATGTGTACGCGACATCGAGTAAAGTTTTTTTTTTTTTTTTTTTTATTTTTTTTTTATTGTTTCGCGTCCCACAAAGGGCCATCATCGCTGACAGCGAATCCGACGAGAGACAGCCCATCTTCTACCGAGGTCAGCTTATAAGTATACGCTCATGCATACTCGGCATTTTTCACACGCCAATGATACACGTAACGCCAAGAATGAGCGTCACTTTAACGATCGACAGCTGTGCATTGTAGCCGCCAAGGACGCAGAGTGGCTTTTGGATAATACGAGTCGCGCGACCCCCTATCGCTGTACAACTCCCGCGAGAGTTTATAATAACACCTGATATACGCTCCATGCATTGATACATGTTGTACATGTATAGCTGACTTTTGTGCTTCTTCCGAGACCTTCGGTATTGCGATCGATGTTGGGACATATTCCGCGTAGGTATCGAGTGGTACAATGAGGGAGCACACGTGCCGGGGTGATACGAGCGGGCTTTGTTTGTCCATTGACGAGGAAGGACATGTGTATGTATGTACACGTGCAGTACCGATAGATCGAACCCTTGGTTATACGTGAAAAACAGAGAGTGTTGGCGTGTGTGAACTTATTTGGAAACCTCGTCGCGAGCAAACAGGTAAGTGGAGAAAAATGTTATTAAAGATTTCCCATCTGCTGTGGTATCTATATGGTACGCGCGCGCGCGCGTGTGTTAGCGGTGATTAGAGGAAAAGAAGGGAAGTGACGTTGTCTCGCGATTGTACGGGGTAGTCGATGCGGAGTACCCGATAAAATTGTATACCCATTGGCGATGAAGAAGAGCGCACGCGACCTCGATTTCCCATTGAGTCCGAGAGCGACGCGAACGAGATAAACCCGTGTACTTTCCAACGATCACGAGAGGAAAACACAACAATTATATCGACTCTCTCTTTCGTTGCAGGAGGGACTTTCTCTGTGCTTTTTTTTTTCTTCCCTTCTTCTTCGATCTCTCACTTTTCTCTCTGGCTTCCGTTGGAATCGCTATTTTCGCCGATTTATCGGTAACGCGCACGGCATCCTCGATTGCGCTATAACAAAGAGGCGTACTCGTGTTGGGCTCCATTCGAGTGCATGGTGTACCTACTCTCAGTTTAAGGTATTTAATAGTAGAGCGAAGAGGTGCGTTGTTTTTCTTTTTTTTTTTTTTTTTATTTTCCAAAAATTGCGCGTTTTCTTACAATTGCCCAATAGTAAAGAAAAAAGTTTAGAGTATATAGGTGCCGGCTGAGAGTGCGAAGCTTCCGAGAAAAACCCCTCTAAATATAGCCGCGCTCGAACAAACAAAGAAAAAAAAAGGAAAAGAAAGCTATTCCACAATTAAAAAGACTGCCGCTCCATCGGCCCCGAAAAAAAAAGGAGACGCAAAAAGCGCCCGCAAAACAAATTCCTGCGCTGGCTCATCTCTTTGTATTCTCCTTTACCTCCTTCCCGTTCTCCTCGGGCTCCTCGAAATAGAAAAGGCTGGCTCTTCTCCGGCGCGTATCCCGCGGGTGTCCGTCTTTTCGGTGCTCGCGAGCGCGCGCAGTGGATCGCTCCGACCGATAAAAAACGAAGAGCCAGATACGAATGACGAGGCTTTGCAACCTATATACACGGAAGAGGATGGTGATGATGGATCGGACGGGACAAGGGAAGCCTCGACGATAAAGATACGAGGAGCATAAAGTGTTTATATACAGGGGCGTTGGAAACAATGATAAAAGAAGATGAAGAAAAGTGCCCGAACAAGCGGAAGGAGTCAAGGTTCAGTGTTGCGTTGTAACCTGCTGTAGCCACCTCATTATCGACTGTTTCTTACTTAAATACACCAATAAGGAGGACATCACGGCCTCACGGACTCTCCACATAATATGTATGGATGCAATCAAACAATACTCATGTGGAAATGAGTTGTTATAGGTATAAGAGCGTAATTGCGTTGTTGTTCAGTACACATTAACTGTTTTAATTTACGGGTGCAAGGGTACATCGATGGAATCGCTGCTCCGGAACTGTTACACCAATGAAACGACGAAGGTCCAAAGTACGGCAAACTTGCGTAATATAGCAGCAAGTATACTGTTACGCGCGTGTTTACACTGTAAGAAGTTTGTATAGCCGCCCACGACGCCGGGGAGCAATCATCACCCTCGCGAGCCAGCGACGGAAAAGTCTCAGCGTGTATAATTGTGCGCCAAGTGAAAATAGCCGCCGCCTCCTCGGGCGTATAGGCACAACCGGTGGCCCTGTTACGAGAGACTTGCGGGGCACCACCTGCGAAATTCGGCCGATTATGAAAAAGCGGCTCGCGCCACGCACTGGCCGCCGCTGCTGCGCCTCCATCAGGTGTATTCTGGGCCTTTGCTCGCGCGCGCTGCCGCCGCCGGCGCTCCAAATTTATATCGCGCTAATTATACCGCCAGGCGGCTCTCTCTTTCTCGCTTCGTAGGAGGAAAGAGAGAAGCTCCCGGCCTCCCGCTGTCGTTCCGTCGCCTCGACGCGGCCAAGCAGCCGCACCGATCTCTCCATCGTCCCGGGCCGTTGCGATACCGATCGTTGGAGTTCGATGCGCTTTAATCAAGTGCGAGGAATCCCGACAGCTTGCGCGCAAGCTCATCGAGGATACGCGCGCCGATCTTGATTTGTCGCTCGAACGCCGGTGTGCTCGCGAAAGTGCGTGGCTCCATTCATCCAGGTTTTCAGCTCCTGCTGAATATGATACACACGTGCCGGTTTTCGTTTGGTGCCCGAGACTCGTGGCTTTGCGATCTGTAATCCAAAATTAGTGGTGTCTCCTTGTCTGACACCTGTTGTGCAATCCCCGAAGAAGACCGACCTACAATTTTCAACATTTACAAGTGTCATCATACGATTGAAAATCGGTAAAAGCCAAACAAACGATGGAGAAACTGCGAGGGTTGCGGTGACAGAGGAAGCAAAAGTTCCTTCGCCCCAGGGATGTTCGGCAGGGAGGGCAGCAGGAGTCGTCCCGGTGATGCGAACAACACCTCCTGCACTAGCACAGCCGCATCAGCGCCGTGGTCGGTGCGCGCCGAGTTCACGATCCACCGCGAAGGGTCCGAGCGTGGCGGCTCCTTGATACCGATCCGAGCCACGAGCCGCAGTGCCACGATCGCCCCCACGAGCGAGCCCACCGGCGTGCGCATGACCTACAGCTTCACGCCCAGCCTCAGCATGGCACCCCCGGCCAGCTACGTCTTTCAACGCGGCAATCTCCTGTTCACTACGACCCCGCCCCCGAGGTCCATGCTACCGGTGAGGGCGCACACCATTCCCCGCAGCTACGTCCACCAACAGGAGACGGGGTACTTGCCGGACTACAACGGCGAGCGGCTCTCCCAAGGAGGACCAGGAGGTACCCCGGTGTCCTCCAACAAGCCGAGCGACAAGCGCTGCAGGAGTACCTACAGCATTGTTCTCTCCAGGCAGCCACAAGCACCGGCGACTAACACCGTGGCCTACCCGAAGCCCTGGAGCTCCTACCAGCAGCAGCTGTTGGCTTCGTCCACGACGAAGAAAGTCCCGTGCTACAGATTCAGCGCGGTGCCGGAGGTGGGCGAGGACTACCCCGAGGCTGCCTACAGGCCCCAAGCGGTCCACGTTTGCGCGAAACTCGAGAGCAGGGACGCGGCGTCCCAGACGACGGACATCGAGGCGCAGCTGTCCCCGGTGGTCCAGAGGAGGAAACTCAGGAGCAAGAAGGCCGGGACCCCTCAGATCGGCTCCTTCCCCCGAGACGAGCCAAAGGATACCAATGTACGTGCTTGTTTGCCGCTATTTATAAACTCTCTGATGGTTGTATATATAGTTTGACTGGGCGTGGACTATGTGATCGCGCGCGAGGCATTTATTTCGACGGTATAAACTGCACGGCCGCTACGCGCAACCCAGATACTTCGGATGAATGAAAGTGTCCACGGCTTGCGTGGAAAATACTTAATCATAACACGCGCGCGCGCCACCAACTTCTCTCGCGAATTGAATCAATGGCTGTTTGTTCATTGGTTTAAATGGCCGGAATAAGGCCAACGCGAATCACCTACGAGTTACCTCCGTTCGATTATGGGGAACTTTGAAAACCATTGATGTTCTCGCATCAAATGTATGTTGATAAGTTAATATTGTTTTTTTTTTTTTTTTTATCCTCTCAACTAGCTTGGTCGGACCTCGAAGACACCAGGAGCCGTGAGAAGAAGCCCAACACCGGGTCCGGAGCGTGGAGCGACCGACGCCGAGACGACGTCAAGCGCAAGCACGACGACAAACGCGAGGTACGAGGAGGAGGAGGAGGAGGACGACGGCAGCAACGACGAAGAAGAGAGTGCCGACGATGGCAGCGAAAAGCCGAAGCGGACCGTGCACATCGACGTTTACTGCACAGGTAGTGACGACGACGATGACGAGGAGGAGACGAGCAGCGCCGAAGATAAGGGAGCCACGGACCAAGACACGGTGTTCGAGGGCCAGGACATGAGGATAACGCACACGCAGGCCAAGAGCGACGCCCTACCTCGGGGCTTCCAGGACGAAAAGGCGTTCCTAAAGAGGGCGAGCGAGAGGCGCTGCGCGAGTTTCAAGCGCGCCCCGATGAGGATGCCCTCCTTGGCCAGCTCCAAGGGCTACGAGAGCGACGACATGCTTAGCTCGCTGTACCCCTCGCAGTTCAGCTCGTACAGCAGGTTGAGGGACTTTGAGTCGCCGGCGCCGTGGTCGGCCGCATCCTCGAGGTCGGGTCTGGCGCTCGGGGACGAGTACGATTCAGCCTCGGCCACCTCGTGGAAGGACACGGCCTCGGACCTGGACTCGCTCGTCAACAGTAAGGCGAGCATCGCGACCTGCGACAGTTTCGAGTACGCGGACTCGGTCGAGCAGGAACGGATTCGAAAACTAAAGTCCGAATGGTTGAACAGAGGAGCCGGGGCTCGGTCACCCCAAATCGAGGCCAGGCACTCGCTTCAGGGTAAGATGATGAAGGACTACCTCGAGAAACATCCACCTTCGGGGTGGTCGTCGGACAGTAGCACAGACGGTAGCGAATCCGACGAAGAGGTTGGCTGGAGCTTCGTGTCCAGCGAGGAGAGCGCGAGTGTGGTCAAAGGTAAACTGGTCTTGCCGGCAAACAATGGAGAAAACAACAACAACAACAACAACAGCGTCAAACCATTGAACAGCGCGACCGCGATGGATCAGGAGAGTAGCCGGGTGGACGAGAAGCTCGTCCAGGAGGTGATAGCGCGGCAGAGCATATTCAAGGATAGGATAGGGCCATTCGGCTCAGCGAGTCCTTCCCCGCCGCTGTCGAAGCTACAGTCGCGCGTCACCTCGCCCTTCACGACTCCCCAGGGCGAACGCACCGATCACATAATCAAGGCCTCGATTTTCGGTCGAGTGGTCAACACTTTCCGCAAGCCTGGCCACCACGTTGGCCCAGCCAAGAATCCGGCCTGCTCGTGCGAACACTGCAGGAGGTACTTTGAGGACATCGCGAGGTCGCGCTCGCGCTCTCTCGACGTCAGTTACAAGAGAAACGCCTCCAGAGCACCCAGCGCCGCGAGATAGTCTCTGCTGTGTTTCAAAAGTTTCGAACAAAATTTATGTACTTTGGATCAACGTAGACATGATTTACAATGAATTTCGGAATTTTGCCAAGCGACTCAAAAGCTGCATAAATATCCATCGTGTATTTACTCAAGTGCGACTCGAATAACCGTAAATGCCATTAACTTTTTATACGACGATCCCGTTAAATGACGCATAAGATGTATGTTCCCATAAAATGATGATTTACCGATGTACAGGTACATGTCTTTCCTCGCCTGCGAACTACGAATAATTTTCCGTTGTTAAAGATTAAATCTCAAGTACAAGCTTTAACGAGTGATTTATTCCAGTGTACGTACACGTTTTGTTTACTATTGAATAATTTACTAAACATTCTGCTTTGTAACCGTACGCATTTATAATAAATGATTATTGTAATAATAAATCATCAGTAATCGTCTAGTCAACAAACTCTCGCTCATTTCATCCTGAACCCTCCCAAACATACTCAAATTGAAATCACCTACGTATTTGCTTTCCAAGAAAATATCGATATAAAACACAACTGCGTCATTGAATCAAATAATATCCATCCGATCAGCTTGTCTTTTTCGAAATTCGGAACAATTGTCTTATGAAACTTTGCTCACAGGCACAGGCGAGTCTCGCCGAGTCGAGCCGCAAGCTGGACTTGCTGCGACTGTCTCTGGAGCTGCGGCGCCAGGAACTGCCGGCCGACAGTGCGATCGCCGCCCAACTGAAGAGCGAGCTCGCAAACTTCCAATCGGCCAGCCCGATGCCGGCCTACACCTCACTTCAGCCCTTCCGCGGACCCATCGAGGGCCGGACCACCGTACCCGCGTCCGTCTCGAGATGCGCGGCCGTCACCGGAGAACTCGAGGCATGGGTTTTTTTTTTTTTTTTTTTTTTTTTTTTCATCGCTCATGTATAGGTAATATTAGATGATTTTAATCTAAATGCTTTTGTGTTTGTCTTCGATGTAGGTGAGACTGATGGGATGCCAAGACTTGGTGGAAGAAGTTCCAGGGCGCACGAAGCGAGATCACCCGGCGAGTCCAGACCTACGTAGCTTCGTGAAAGGAGTCACGGGCCGCAGCTCGAGCAAGTCGTACAACATCAAAGACGAAATAAGCAGTAAGTCGTCTGATTGTCGGTAGTTTGTCCTTTGACAAAAAAACACCTGCTTTATGCTTTATTGACACGGCAAACGTCTCGTTGCAGATGACATAATGGCCGTGATAAAGCTCGACAATCAAACGGTGGCGCAGACGAGCTGGCGGCCGTGCTCTCAGCAGGCCTGGGACCAGAGGTTCTCGATCGGGCTCGACAAGTCGCGCGAACTCGAGATCGGCGTCTACTGGAAGGACTGGCGCTCGCTCTGCGCGGTAAAGTTCCTGCGCCTCGAGGAGTTCATCGACGACGTGCGCCACGGCATGGCGCTGCAGCTCGAGCCCCAGGGCCTCCTCTTCGCCGAGATCAAGTTCCTCAACCCCATGATATCGCGCAAGCCGAAGCTCCAGCGCCAGCGCAAGATATTCAAGCAGCAGGCCAAGAACTTCCCGCGCGCCAATCAGATGAACATCAACGTAGCCACCTGGGGCAGGCTGCTCAAGCGCGCGACCCCCTCGCTCAGCAGCAACAACAACAGGCGCGAGTCCGAAAGCCCTCCTACCGGTTGGTATTTTTACATCTTCATTTCGCGTGTAGGCACTACCTCATTGTTTTCTTGCTTCCCACAAGGTTCCCAGCCGACGCATCTCGTCTTCGACTCCTCGGTGACCGAGGACAAGCAGGAGACCCCGGGCGAGCAACCGGATCCGGAAAAGGGTGGCCTCGGTGGTACTCGTCCACTCGGCATGCTCTCTTCCGCCTCCTCGTCCTTGCACTCGGTTCAGAACATTGAGAGCATGACCACCTCGTCCACAGCCGCTACTCCTACTGCTAGTAGTACCGCTGGTGCAGCCAGCATGGCGAGATCCTCGTCCTCGTCCTCGCTGCCGCATCCGCCGGATCATCCACCGCCACCGCCACCCGTTGCCAAGAAGCCCACGACGCCCGCGCCTCAGCCACCTATCAGGGTCGACCAGGAGGTAAGGCTCGCGCGCTCGTCGCTTTTTTTCACCATTACTTTTAGAGCTGACTTTTGAGGATTTTTTAGAGCAAGCCTCGGCAGCACTCTTACGTTTTACAGCGTAGCGCGCACACAAGTTACATACGCACTGTAATTGTCCGTTGAATTTTTTTCTATTTTTCTTTGATTCTTGATTCTGTGTATAATACTACTTCTCCATACACGTAGTGTTATTACAGTGGGCACAACGTTTCTGTGTCTACAAAGGAAATTGCAAGTATTAATTTTGGTTGAGGGTTCTTTTTTTTCCGAGTAAACAATTAAAAACAGTAACAGTTATTTATTTGCTCTAATGGTTAAAGAAAAAAGAAAATTTTACGCGCCCGTGGACCGAACATACTACTGTTGTCCTCAGCGGCGCGTAAGATCGTACGTATACGCACCACGGGAGATGGTAAAGAAAGCCTTACTTTGTAAACACGCAATCTGAGACATTCTTCGCTTTCGCTCCTCGGGTGTCACGTATACTTACCTACTGTTATGATTAATTTCTCAACTTTAACAGTTAATCAGCTATAACATTGTGTAAATACGGTTACTATAATACGCTCGACGCGCTCTAACAGTATAACTTACGTCAACACGAGAAGGGTACTCTTTTAATTGTGTATTAATATAAGATTTAGTTTGATAAATCTTTTTCCCCAATGTTTGTACCCTTGACGTGTTGATGGCAAATTAATTTTTAACTTGTTTAACTTTGTGACCAAAACAAATGTCTCGAAGCAATATCGATGAACGAGAATTATGATGATTCAGCCTATAAAATGATAGAACAGATAGTAATATACACCTGGCTAGAGAGATATTAGAGCTATAGTTTGGTGCCATAGTAGTAGGGGCTGGTTAAAGCAAGCACGAGTTGTGTAATGAGTAGTTGCAGAACGCGTTGAGGGAGTTTGACTTCCTTCTGAAGGAAGAAAGATCGGGCCAGCAGGGAGCGAGTCTGAGGCCCTTAGTCACCGAGCCCAGACCCGTGCTGATAGCACCACCCTCTCCACGTACTCCCTCGCCTCAACCTGTCGTCGAGTTTCCCGAGGACGAGGTACACACGCTTAGAACAACACGATGACCGATGTATTATTTGTGCCTAATATCTCTTTTTTTTTTTTTTTTTTTTTTTTTATTATGTGCTTTTTCATTGACGTCCTATATTGACATCCCTTTTATATTTGCTTCTGTTTTGTCTTGATCGGGGCTGCACGGCTTGCTTTTTAATGAATAGCAAAGTGTAGAAGAACAATAGTTTTTTTGTGCTGCTTTCGAACAAAAATGTAAGCTTAGGTGGTTTCAACAGATTGAAAAATTGTTTATAACTAGGATACTTTGAGTCATATGTTTTCGAGATGATAAAGTGACCTCAAATGGCGGTGCATGTGATTGAAAAATAAAACGATTACTTCATTTTGTTTTTTTTTTCCTCTGCTTATTTAACTCAGCTTGCATGGCGTTGCTTCTCTCGCTGTAGCTTTTTTTAATAACAACTTTACATTTGTTAATAAGGATTTTTTTTTTTTTTTTATAAAAAACAAAATACAAAAAGATTAAATCATTTTCACAACATAATATATTCCGAATAATTGTGTGCTTTTGTCCAAAGTATGTTTTTTCAATTCAAAACAAGTACGCTGACTTTAAACGTACTCCATATCATTGTTGCAAACTACGTCATTATTTGCGTTTCGTTCGAAAAAAATTTCGAGAACAATAGAGAGCGGAAGTGCCTCGAAAGAAAAAAAAAAAAAAAAAAAAAAAACTTGGGTATCTCCATCGTTTTTGGGTGTGTGCAGCCAATTTTCATGGGAAATCGTCATCAAAGGTCATTCGCATCAGTGTCACACGTGGCTGGACATACATACACGTACACGAGAGTATTATTCTCACTCGCGCACGAAGCCGACATTGTGATTAACAATACCATCGAACTATGTACAAACCGAACATTCTTTTGTACCATCCACCAACCATTGTGTCGCGGCGAATTAACAAAAATCTGTATACACCAAAAAGATACGATTGTTCGACCGATGGGAGTTTCTTTTTTTTTTTTTTTTTTTTTTTTTTTTTTTCGAAGTATTCAGAATTGAAATCCAGCTGTACGAATGCCTTATTTCTGCATTTTGATGTTGCTTAGTTCAATCTCCTGGTAGTGTATGATTATACTTGATGTGCATGAACTGATGATTGTGAATACTTCGAAAACGAGAGCCGATTCGGAGAAGAGATGACGAAGCTGAAAATTGCATCCGTTTTATTTTTGGAAAATACAACAAATCAAGAAAAGTCCGAATAACCATCTCTTCTCCGTGTAAAATCATCTTTGGTTCTCTAAAGAAGAAGAAAGAGGAAAAAGGAACCACATCCCGATCGATCGGTCGAAACCAACGGTATCCCGTCCCTTTGAAACCAACGAATATTGTCCAACACGAGCAGGTGGTGTACGAGGTGCCGATGCCATCGAGGTCACTCCAGTACCGGGACAGCGCCTACGAGTCCCGGCGTCACTCCCAGTTGATGACGGTGGGCATGAACTTGGAGAACTTCCGGCTACTGTCTGTCCTGGGCAGAGGCCACTTTGGCAAGGTCATTCTGTCGCAGTACAGGAACACGGGCGAGTACTTTGCCATCAAGGCTCTGAAGAAGGGCGACATCATTGCTCGGGATGAGGTCGAATCGCTGCTCTCCGAGAAGAGGATCTTCGAGGTTGCCAACGCAACGAGGCACCCCTTCCTTGTCAATCTGTTTGCTTGTTTCCAGACTGAGGTGCGTTTTACGATGCTCATTTGAACAATAATAATCAAACGATTGGATGTGTAAATACATTATTTTTATACGTCTTGCAGGCGCATGTTTGTTTCGTAATGGAGTACGCCGCCGGTGGCGATCTCATGATGCACATCCACGCCGACGTCTTCGGGGAACAGCGCGCTGTTTTTTACTCAGCCTGTGTGGTTCTTGGACTGCAGTACCTTCACGAGAGTCGCATCATTTACAGGTGAGTGGTTGATAGAAAAATTACCAGACAGCAATGGATATTTCAATTATTTTTTTTTTTTTTTTTTTCAGGNCGATAGTGGGGCAATGAATCGAAACTGGCCATTGATTTTTGATCTAGCCTCGTTATTTCATTATTTTTTTTTTTTTTTTTTCATCAGGGACTTGAAGTTGGATAACTTATTATTGGACACCGATGGCTACGTCAAGATCGCCGATTTCGGTCTGTGCAAAGAGGGAATGGGCTTCGGAGACAGGACGGGCACCTTCTGCGGCACACCGGAGTTCCTCGCACCGGAAGTACTCACCGAGACTTCGTACACGCGCGCTGTTGACTGGTGGGGTCTTGGAGTACTGATATTCGAAATGCTGGTCGGAGAAGTGAGTGTGTTTTCATTATTGCCGAGGTAATCGAGGTGTGTTACATTATTCATATTGTGATTTTATTCAGTCTCCCTTCCCTGGCGACGATGAGGAGGAGGTTTTCGATTCGATCGTCAACGACGAGGTTCGTTATCCGCGCTTCCTGTCGTTGGAAGCCATTGCCATAATGAGACGAGTGAGTTTTTATTAGTTGCGTTCAAGTTTGCGTTTTTACATGTATTACTCAAGTACTATATGATTTGAATTCTTCCGTAGCTTCTAAGAAAAAATCCCGACCGAAGATTGGGCAGTAGCGAGCGAGATGCCGAAGACGTGAAAAAACAGGCCTTCTTCAGGAACATCAATTGGGATGATTTACTTATGAGGCGTATCAAGCCACCGTTTGTTCCACACATCGTAAGTATCACGAGTTTGATCTTTCAATGTATAATTTGGTTTAAAAGATTAATTTAAGATTTTCATCCTTAAAAAATGATTAAAGTTATTTAAAATCTTGGCAGGCACGAAATCTTCGATTTTTTAATGAAAAAGTAAGATTAATGTACAGTTAATGTTCTGAATCCATCTAATTCTCATTGGTACAATAATCTGAAACTCTTATATGTCGTGAATAACTCGTGATGTTAATTTGAATAATAATTTGTTATTACACAGTGTTCAAAATTAAAAATTACCTCGATTCTATGTGTCATCATATGACTTTTAATAAAAATACATGTTACGAGAATTACTGCATGCTCTATATTATACTGTGAACAAACAATATATATATACATGGATCGTTTATCTTACAGTCGTCAGTTGAAGATGTCAGTAACTTTGATGAGGAATTCACTTCCGAAAAACCACAGCTTACGCCACCGAAGGATCCACGACCGCTCAGTGATCTGGAGCAGGCTTTGTTCAGAGATTTCACTTACATGGCTGACTGGTGCTAGCCAAAACAAAGCGATCGGATGGTTCTTTGGAGCATGTAATAATTAGGAAATTTACTTTAGGGATACCATTTTCAGAACGAATGCTGTTTGCATAAATGTTCGTCCTCATTTGTTCTCCAGAGAGATGATATATATATATTTGCACTCGCTCATTCATAACACGATGTATTTGATTATTTGTATAGTTTTTATATTTTAATTACATGTTATGGTTAGACCTTTTTACATTTCACAAACCACCTTGTGTTATAGCTAAGAAAAAAAAAAAAGTAAATTAGGAATGATAGTTATTATGTGATTCGTGAAAGATTTGGAGACAAAATGAACTTTCGTCAGAAAAGTGGAAATGCCTTTTTTTCATCGTCGTCATTATTGGGACAAGAGTTGAGTATCACGTTTTTAATCTTAATACTGTGCATGTATGTAATAATAATTATTTGAAGTCTAAGAATAGTCTACTGTAAAAAAGTGTGATTGTGTCGGTCAAGATCGAATTTATATTTATGTATGATCCTTGTTGTACAAGCTTTTTTTTATATATTGTGTACAGTCCGAAATGGAATCAAGCATAAAAAATCGACTAATGAAAATTCATCCCGTTCAATGTTACTCACACGAAGGTTATGAAAAAAGCAATATCTATAAATTGAAGATTATAGTAAAACTGCGTGAGAAATATTATTTTCTCATTATGCTGCTTAGAAATTGCGGCATATAAAATCGAAACTATACTATTAAGTATTTTTGTGAAAACATGTTTTTATCCGTAATTCAAGCTTAATGAAGCAACGCGAAAAAAAAAAAATAAATAAAAAAATAACAGTTTGCACGTAATGATTTGAAAAATAAGGCAGCATATCAAACATTGACAGAATGATTAACAAAATGTGATAATTGTTCAATCAAGTATGTCAAATAAGAAAATATAGGATACAGTTTATTGTTAATTTGTAGAATGTATTTGCTTTAATTAATATTAATGATTTTTTGCCTTATTCAATCATGTAGATTTTTGAAATAACTTTGTATAAGTTTACCTTTTGTCCGTTATTAATTAAACATTATTGATAGAAAAACAAATTTTTTTTTGTGTTCATTCAATCAATATAACATTTCTCACCCCCTTTGCAAATCATCATTGTTACGAGAGCTTAGCTCTGACGCAAGACGTGACTAATCTTATAAAAATATTTTTTAATTAATCATAGCTCTTTTTTATCACTGCTGTAATTTGTTGTTTTTTTTGTTATCTAATTCGAAAATTGGCCCGAATATTTCTTGCAGAATTCGAAAGATCAGTTTAAATCCAAGATGCTGAGTATGGTGTAAACCCGAGTTAAGTTATTTCACCTACTGATATATTAACATAGGACTACATTCAACAAATAGATGTACTTGTACTTGTTCACACTTATTTGTAATCCTCAAACAACCTTCAAGTACAACATTACAATTTTATTAAAATTTTTAATAAGATAAAAAACAAGTCTTAATTCCTTGAATATCACACTATTCCATCTCGCAGGAAACTTTTTCATTATCCAATTCATGATTCTGAGTATCTACATTATTCAAAGATTCGGTTTTTGGAGAATTTGCAATAGGGGACTGAGCTCTAGCCAATTGTGCAGAATCATCTGAATTATTTTTTATGGATTCGGCAGTCTCTTGGTCATCAGTATGATGTATTTCCGAATCATTTGTTTTTCCCTCCTCTTCAACAAAATTTTCATCACCATTGAGTAACAGCGCTCGCTCATACAGATTTGCAGTGTTTCTGTTGATTTCTCTTTCCAGAGCAAATTTCTTTTCTTCTTTTTGCTTGATTACAGCGGTCTCTTCAGGAGCTATAGGTTTTACGATGCCTGCGCTAATGCTGTAGTACACAGAAGTAGTATCACCATCTTTAAATACAAATGTAAACCTGTAAGAATTAATAAACTTAATTGAATAACAAATGTGATTGAATAGCATTTATGGTGAAATTTTTCTCCAACTAACTTTTCTCTCTCTAACTCTTGTTGCATGTTACTAATGAAATCAAGCGTGAGATTGTGATGAGCTGGCCAAGGTATAAATGTGTCCAGTTTTGCAGATTTTTTTTTTCTTGCTTCAAGATAATATAGTGAAAGTGCATCTGAATACTTGTAATTGACATCCCAATAACGTTTCACTTAAAAAAATTAAGAAATCGTTCATGGTCAATTTGAACGAAGTAAAATGAATAAAAATAATCAAGTTACCTTCACAAAGCTCCATGTATACGTAAAAAGCTGTACTTAGCTTAACTTGATCATTACAGCCTAATTGGCTCATATGATAGTACTATAAAAATATGTATAAATTCAGTAAATGCTCACTAATAATTACTAAGTAATATTTGAACTTACTGTGGGGTGGCAAATGTCAAACATATTTATTGTTTTACCAACTTTGTTGATAAGAACAAAATCTGATAGGTTAGAATTTTACGGTATTTTTTTTTAATTATCAAGAGTTACCCCTTTATATCATTAAAATTTTACATACTTATAAATAGCAAGATAGGAACTCAAAATTATTCGTTCAAAGTTATATTTTCACATTTTTTTGGTTAACTTTTCACACGGAGAAATAAAAATGTGTGTACTTTTTAATACGTATGATTTTTAAACTTTAACAAATCCATTGAACTTCTTTTTGATTGTGCAAAAAAAACCGGACAACTATGAGAATGACATACAACTCCGAATTTAATTTGACAAAACTCTCTTGAGAGTATACTCTTGAGTTTTGTGTACAAAACAATGTAAAATTTCACAAATGTAAATCAGTAAATCTTACACTTTACAATCAGCGCCATCTCACGTGCGATTATTCTCGATCTCGATCTCTCGATGTCTCGATCGAGATATCTCGTGGCTCCAAGACCCTACGAACGTTTTATTGCTTCGGGCATGAAGCAAAGCTCAACTCAAGTTTCGCCGTTTAAAATGACATGGAGTAATCTAAGTTGAGCTTTTCTTCGTCGCCCGAGGCAAAAAAAGGTACGTCTGTAGGGTTTCGGAGCCACGAGATTTCTTGAGAATGATCGCAATAAATAATAGAACAATATCCCCTGCTGGTAACTATAATTGATAATTTTGATGGCGCTAGTTTTAAATACTCAATGATCTTGGCTGACAGTACACGGAAGACAACTTTACGTATCAATAATGCATCAAGTTTAAAAAGTTTCGAGGTGTAGATACCTACATTGAGGACGTAACAAAATACAGAAATTTTTTTTGTATGAATAAATATACATTTTATTTGTATGAATAAATATACATTTTATTTACATTATCAAACATGTAAAATACATGAGTTTTCACAAAATCTACTTGTGACGGTTATAATATTATTATAAAAAATATTACCAGTAATAATATCAAATTGTTGATGAAACACATTACGAAGTCACCAAGTAAATCACAGATTTTTTTTCACTGTATCAATGAAAATCGATTTGTGCATAAGATAGGCAGGTTTATGCTGTGCGCTGCAAGGTAATAAACATTCTGTGCTCCGTATCTAAATACTGTGATTCCAATTGCTAATCCCTAACTTTTGATTATCTACCAATTTTAGTCCAAGCACGACGAAAAATAACATTTTTACGAACTTAGAAGTATAAGTTTCAAGTGAAAATTGTACAATACAAAAATATAACGACGAAGCATTTTACAAAAAATGACCATCACTTTTGAAACACATTGGAAAAATCAATCTCGCAAGAGCCAAGAGCTAGTCAACAAAATTATTCTAAAATTGCTGGGAAGGCAAGACAGTACGAAAATCAATCGCGCTTGGCGAAATACTCGTCATCTTTATCCCAAGAACTTGACAAAAAAAATGTGGGTAAAGAACCACACACTTGACACCAATGCAACATTGATCCGACTAATCGAAGTGGTACTTGTGAGAAAAGAGTGTCCGTACTCAAGGCGAAAAGAAAAAAGTCAGGCAGAGCCGCGCCAAGAGGAATCAAAGCCACACGCGCCATCCGAGTCGGAGTCGTTCTGCTGGCCGTTCTGTCGATTGTTGACCCCCGACCGACTCATCGCCTGCACGAGGAGGCTGTTGGTCGCGATGGCCGAGGCCGAGGACGGCCTTCGTTGCTGCTGCGCCGACGTCGTCGACGAAGACGAGGAGGAAGACGAGGAGGCTCGGCTGGCCGGGGGTGGCGTGCTCGGCTGGGACAGCGGCGACGTGGACGCAAAGTCGGTAGCTCGCCGACTCCGGCGTTTCCTTATCGCCGCGTACTTTGGCGGTGGCATCAGCTTGTCCGCCTGCAAAATAAGAGTTGCACGGGTTTTTATTCCGGTATACAAGTGTAGGTACTTATGGGGCATGGCTGATATTTTCACTCACGGGCAAATGGTCCGCGGAGCCCCAGGTCTTGTAGATCTTGTCGGAGGGGTGGTTGTTAGTCGCCACTCCCAGGAACTGGCTGAAGGCCTCCGTCGTTCGCTTCACGCGGACGTTCAGCGAGCCAATACGCAGGAAGCCAAGGTCTCTCTCTGCGGTGACGATTTTTTGGGACAATGCAACCGAATTTATCGATAGAAACGGCTTGATTTTGCAATCGTGCGTACGTGCATTTACGTTTGGGTGCCAAAAGAGCGGAAGCGCGGTAGCGGTGCGGGTGAGAGGCTAGCGTGCAGAATTTTACACTATACAGGGTATATATAGGGGGATGCAGGAAATAACGCCGGGTACAAAATACTCGAAAGCGATAGAGAATTTGCATTTATTCAACAGTGGAAAATATAAACATCATCGTCAATACTACAATAAAATAATAAATAAATTAAGTCTTGGATGTAGAAAAACAAAAAAATAAAATAAAAAGAACAAGCATAGAGAATAAAAAACGTAAAGTGTCATTGAGCATTGGGAAGGAAAGACAAGCCAAGGATCGAATTTCTCCAGGAGTTTACTCTCAGTTTACGAACGGGCCAAGTGTTCTTACCTGTGTGCTTTTTCCTTGATTTTATTTCTGTAAGAGAAAACACATGGGATTGTTATTTCAAAAATGATCTCGTTGAGCCTTGACTACAAAAAAAACTATCAAACAAAATGTTAGATATGGTATTGAAAAAAAAAAAAAAAAATGACAAAGTGGAAGCGAAGCATCCAAAATAATATTAGTCGTAAATTTTTTATCGAATAAACTCAATAAAAGACAATGCAAACACATATTTTTAAATCAAGTTTTACTCGCACTTGTGAGTGGTAGAAACTTATTGGTGATTGTCGTTGCGTTTTTAGTTGCTCTATTTCAGTAAAAATGCAACGCAATGCGCATAATAACACAAGAAAAAAAAAACGTGGGAGTAATTTTTCTACTGATTTCTAGTCAATCTAAAACACAACGAGGGAAAAAACATGTTATTTAAGAAAAAAAAGGAAAGATCATTATCATGTTCGACATCAATTTTTCATGACTTGCGGTACGTAACAACGGAATAGGTAACGAAACAGATCCAGAGAGCGTGTATGTAATTAAACAAAAAAAAAAAAAAAAAAAGAACAAAAAAAAATGTAGCATCTATTGCGGAATAACAAAAAAAGAACACGACCGACGCCTGATGCAACAGCAGCTTTCGATCTGCCGATAGTGAAAAACAGGTAAAACACACATGTTGGGAAGAGAAAGAAATGCAAAAAGGGAGAGAGAGAGAGAGAGAATAAATACAATATTAATATACCCAGCTCGGTACTTATGGTCGGGAGGCTCGTTAACACCTCGTTTAAATGCAAACCGGCCGTTTTTATTTCTTAATGATAGATCACGAGCCATTACACGAGAAAAAGAAGCAACATTATATTATAAACACATATACACGAGGGGGTGTGTCGCGCATCACTACGAAGACTATATAACCCTCTCTCCCTCTTTCAATCCTCGCTCTCCAACTTTCCTATGAAACTTTTTTTCTATGCAATTGGTCGATGCATCCTACGTCTGTCTCTGGCATTATGTGCAAATAATACACACCGTTTGGGGGGGAAAAAAAGAGCCGAGAAACGGATAAACAAACGTGTCTTTGTATGGCCATCATCGCGAGTGCAAAGTGAAATCGCACGCGAGTAAGGGATCCGTCTCGTTGTAAGTACACCGAGCAAACACACGCCCACTTGGCGAACGATGCCTCGTCATTTTCGCGCTATTGTAACGGAGAGGACTTTTGAAGGAAGATTCTTATCCCGGCGGGGATTAATCGCCCCGAGGAAACGTCGAAACGAAAACGCGGAATGGGAGGCACTTCTTGCAGCAACGGTGCCCCTCTTTCGTCTCTCGCTCGCGCAGCGGAAACCCGCGTTTTTTTCAATTGGTTCAAGGTGCTCGGGTTTCTTTTTTTTTTTTTTTCCACTCTTTTCTCGGTTTATCAAGTAGACGCGAGTTAACAGCTTTAGGAGGTGCTTCTTAATGGCACCGCATTAGTCGCTGTCGCACGGCGAGGGACCCAGCGTTGTGTGAAAAAACACATTTTTCTCGCGAACGTTTCCGAGGAAATTTAAGGCTGGTTAGAGCGCAATCGACAACAAACCACTTTTGGTTAACACAAGTGTGTATATATAGCAAGTACAGGTTTCAGGCGAGTTAGTCAAGTACACATTTGCACACGGAAGTACTTTATTTTTATGCACGTTCGTCTCGCACACGTGCGGGGTTCATTCGGTTATTGAGCTTTTGCGTATCAAAAGAAGCGTTATAGGCGGTAGAACAAAAGTTCCGCAGTATTGCATTTTTTTTTTCATACTTACAACACGGCAATGACAAAGTGTTTTTTTTTTTTTTTCTTCGTTTGGTCAAAGGGCATTTTTTGTATTCTTACTTCGCGAGTTGGAGCGAATGAGGATACAGTTGAAAAAAATAATGTGTTACAAAATCGAACGGATCGTCGATTCTTCTCGAGAAGCGTACAAAGTTCGTAAACAAAGCCGCGAGTCCAAACTGTATAATTATACAATCAGTCATGAAAAAAAAAAAAAAAAAGAGAAACAGCCCCCTCCTCTTTCTCTATTCATAAATCAATCAATATTCCGATATTCTATGGTGTTTTTTGTCGAATCTCATTGTCTCGATATCTCGAGTCTTGTCTCGCGCTCGTCGCCGCGAATACGTTGTACATTGCACAGAGAAAAGCCGACACTGTGCACAATATAATAAGTCAAAACACGAACAGCAGAGGGTGCAGTGCCTCCTCCTTGCGTTTTTTTTTTTTTTTTTTTTTTAAATTCCCATTAGCGATATCTCGGAGGAGCTTGCGAAACGCGCATGTTGTTTTTATTAGCTCGGTGTACCGATGTGCGAGGAGTGTAGGTATTACAAACGTGTGAGTGTGGCTCAATGGGAGAGCGTGCGACGGATAACTTGCCTGAGCGCGCTGCCAGCTAGTCTCCCTACAACAGAATGAAATTCGTTCCAGAATCCCAATGCTCACTAGATTCATTAATATTATGGATGGATAGGGCGTGGGTTACAAGCTTATCTTACTTTTTTTTTTTTTTTATTTCCGATCATTAAAAGTACTGCTATATTATATACTTTTGTCGACGGTTTATCGACAACACGACGCTGGAAGAAGGAGAGAGTTTTCTCGGAGGGAAGAGAAAGTTGTTATTAATTTAGAAAAACACGTTTCGCCCGTTTGTTAATTACCGCCGATTCCGTCGTGAGATAATTCCCTCTCGATACCTTACTCCTTTTCCAATGCATCTGATCTTTAAAGAAGAGTCCTTCCATTGGTGATACATAATTTTAAAATTACTGCACATTTTGAAATTCTCTCATTAGGCAAAAAGTAGACGAATCCAATAATAAAATAGTGGAACCTTATCATTATTGTTCATACAACGATATTTGATGGGATTTACAAAAAAATTTTTAATAAATTAAATCGACCAAGTATATATATATAAAAAAAAAAATGACTCAATTGATCGAATCTTTTTGCTAATAGTCCAATTATCTCGACAAAAAGTCGCTTCATACATTTTACAGAGCGGAAGCTTACAGGTACAAGTACACCACTGTACTGGCAAGATACTCACTGCGCATCGTGTCCTGGCTGACCGCAGCTTTCTGAGAAATCGAGTACTGCCGGGCTTTTTTCCCACTGTAATCACGGATCTCTTGATTGGCCCCTACGAGGATAAACACACTTGGATCAGACTGATGAATCGGCATTTTTACTTGGATTATTATATTATTTTTTTTACCAATTACAAATAAATAAACAAATTTATCGCTCGATTGTTGACTAATTATTTTTACATCTTTTACGAAGCAGCTGAAAATGCGTTTAGTAAACTTGTTAAAGAGAGGAAAAAAAAAAAAGCAACGTAATTTATTTTATTAAAAAATTCCAGTGTGCAGCAACAAAGCCGTACTTTTCCTCTAAAAACGCGAGTTAGTTAGATGTTGAAAATATTGTTGATACGGCGAACAAACAACTCGTTGTCTTCATACAAGTGCAAACGCATCGAACCAAATTATGCGCCCGAAAAAAGCAATAAAAAAAGCAACGACGTCGTGGCAGTACGCCAGCAACGCGGTCATCTGCGCCGGCAACCCCTCGAGCTACTCGTGCCAGACTCCCATTTTGACCTTCTTGTCCTTCTTGGCCCACCACTTTGGCCGAAGCAGCTACAGGAGCGAAAGGGTGCCCGACGAGTACGACTTTGTCATCGTTGGCGCTGGATCGGCCGGCTGCGTACTGGCGAACCGACTGACCAAAATCAACAAATGGAAAGTATACGTGTAGGTACACATAGCGTAAAGCCTTTGTTCAGCTCGACGACATCAAGCGGAGGAATTTTGCAGGTTCTGTTGCTGGAAGCCGGAGACGAGCCAAAATCACGAAGGTCCCGGGCACCATACCACCGCGGCCTGCAAGGCCTTCAAGGACAACTCGTGCTCGTGGCCCAGGGGCAAGGTCATGGGCGGATCGAGCGCCATCAACTTCATGTGGCACGTGAGGGGCAGCAAGCAGGAGTACGACGACTGGTCCGACTTTGGTAACACCGGCTAGAGCTACGACGAGGTACTGCCGTACTTCAAAAAGTCCGAGGACTTGAGAGACGCGAGCGTGAGTACTTGACTTATTTTCATAATATGGACGCTTGATTATTACACGCGCGTGCGTGTGTCGACAGATCGCCGTAAATAGCAGCGACAGCCACGGGGTGGGTGGTTACTTGCCGTCGATCGGTACGCGTACAACGACCTGAACAACAACCTGTTCGTCGAGGCGTTCAAGGAGCTGGGGCTCGAGGAGGTCGACTACAGCTCCAGGGAGACATAGGTCGGGGTTTCGAGGCTGCAGTCCACGACGATCGACGGGGCAAGGCTCAGCACCAACGACGCCTTCCTCAGGCCCATATGAGGCGACGAGCGCACTCCCAGGAGGGCGTACGCGAGAAAAGAGGTGATCCTGTCCACCGGGTCTATTGAATCCCCGAAGCTTCTCATGCTCTCGGGTATAGGGTCAGCCAAGGAGCTGCGCGAGGCGGGTATCACCGACCTCGTCCAGGAGCTTCCGGTCGGCCACGTGGAGATCGGTACCCTCTTGTCCGTGGCTGGCGCGTGCACCAGCGCCATCGACTGCAATTACTATCCCTACTGGTACTACGACACGGCCGAGCTGTATGCGGCCCCTAAGAGCCGAGGGGTGCTCAAGCTCAACGGGACAGATCCGACGTGGGCCCATCCGTTGATCTACGCCAACTACTTGACGCACCGGGAGGACGTAGAGGTGCTGGTCAGGGGGGCCGAAATCGCCAGGGCGATAGCTGGCACCCGGGTCTTTGAGAGGAACAAGCTGAAGCGCTCGAGCGAGCCGGCAAGGGGCATCGACTCGACAGTGACGAGTACTTTGAGTGCGTGGCCAGGACTTACACGCAAACGACCTACCACCCGGTGGGCACCTGCAAGATGGGGCCCAGGGGCGACCCCACGGCTGTCGTGGACCCAGAGCTGCGCGTTCACGGGGTCAGGGGGCTGAGGGTCGTCGACGCCTCGATACTACCCACGATAACGAGGGGCACGCTCAACCCACCGGTTATCATGATTGCCGAGCGGTGAAGTGATTTGATTAAACACTCTTGGCTTCGGTGATGTTTAACCACCGGATGAACCGAGTGTCGACAAACTTTGTATTTATACGTGGTTTCTGTTGGATCTCTCGGTACAACGTGTTGCACAACACATGTAAGTACGGAAAACTGTTCAGATTAGATTCTGTATATGTCCAAGGGACTCATGGTCCACGTTAGCAGCTGTATATAACATGTACAAATATATATGTACAGAGTCAAAGCTCTGTTTTTCAGCACATATGCAAACAGAACGCCTTTTTTCTAATTTGCATAAAAATACATAAAATAAAATATTAGTATACGACTTTATAGTTTAGCGTGTGGGTTTAATCGACTTGGTAATGCGCGTATTGGCGTTGTTTAATTATATGATAAACGACGCGTCGCTGTCGCACCGTATCGTATAACTTTCGAGAAAAAGACTGATCATGCATGATTTATTTGGATTAAAAACGAGTATGGAAAATCAAGTCTTACCGTATACTTTGACTAGTAGAGTATAAATATTCTCGTGGTCGAATTGTATTGCGATGTGAAGCGGCGTGTATCCCTGTAATGAAAAAAAAAAAAAAAATTAGTAAAAATGTTACAAAACGATGCGTGCAAGTATTGAGCCATGGAATGCAGCATAGGTACGAAAAAAAAGGAAACACTTGTCAAGGGATGAAAGAAAGAAAAAAAGGAGCGAAAAGTCCCTCCATCAATCACTAGAGACAATAAAGTATGGGGAATTAATTGAGACCGTACGAGCGGGCCATTGTATACCAGCCCGTGCGAATCCTCGCGAGCGTATACTTCCTCCTCGACGAGCCGCGTGTACGTATAATAGACGTGCAATCTCACACGCGGGGAGAACAAAAAAAAAAAAAAAA